ATGAGGTCACCCCACAGCCTTCTTTTCTCCAGGCTGAATGAGCCCAGCAAATACATCCTCATGCTGGAGTTTGGGGAGGATGTGTGATTTCCAGGGCTACAGAGGACACGGCACAGGAGGCAGACCTGGGGCAGCAGGACTCATCGTGCTGCTTCTTGCTGCCTTTCTTTTGGCACTGGGACTCCCACTGCACAAAGCACAGAGGTTAACAGCCAGCAACACAGCGACCAAGCACACCATACCTAATGCAGAGAAGTAGCCTCTGTCTTGGGAGAGCAGCATCCAAGAATGCCAGGTAGCATTTAGCATGCCTAGGCCCCAGAACTGCAGGAAGGACCACAATTTTCTCACCCTTTGAGGCAAATTTCAGCTTTTTCCCAGCTTCACTAAACACTTGGAACACAACCCAGGAAAAAGGATTGATGTCACTGAGTGCTGTGGCCACTATCATGCTTGAGCTGCTCCTAGGAAGAAGCACCAAAATAATACAAGTTCTCTGTTTATCTAACACTGGCCAAGGACAAAGTCAACAAACAGCCTTGGGATCTCTCGGGGGACTTGAAGCCAACAGCCCCAGTCTGCCCAGAATGAAGATGAGATGCATTGACTTTGGCAAGCACTGGCTGCTACATGCTGTCATGTCAATAAACATCCCCACAAAGATATCTAAAGGAGGTGAATGGTCGTGGGACGTGGAGGGGAATAGTGTTTGCTAGAAAGAGGCAAGAGAAGAATCAGCCTTATAAATAATAACACTTCACCCTACAATGTGCTCCTGAAAAAAGAGGAGAAACTCACTGAGATTGGACAAGTCTGACACAATCTTCAGCTGCTTGTGTTGGGAAGGGAAGCTTGTTTCCAGAGAAAGAGGGTTGCCCAAAATGCAGCCAAGAAGAAAATGAGCAGCCCAGGCAGCAGGGAAAAGCCAGGCCGTGGGCCTTGAAATGCACATCGTAGCACAAAACAGATGGCAGCTTGTGAAGGAACCTCTGAATGGCAGCTGTGCCGCAGCATATTGCCGTTCGCCCTTAGTCTGGCTTCACCCACAAGTGTACTGAGAGTGCTCTCTAAGTCATTAATAAAGATGGCAAACACCATTGGTTCCAGCATTGCAAAAGCACAGAATATCTCTGCCTTCTCCATGTCCTTTGTTTCTGGCTCCTCTACCCCAAAAAGCAGAGCCTTTCTTTTGCTGTGGGGACACTTAAAGAGGCCCTTCCCTGTCCCATCAGCTAGTTCCAGCACTACAGAGCTTTGGCTCTTCTCACTCCATCCCTGAGAGCTCAGGCAATGCCCTGCTGGTCACTGCAGGCAGCTCATCCCTGTGCCACCTTCCTCTGGGAGCTTCCCCTCAAGTTCCCCACCAAAGCCCTGCTCCTACACCAAGGAAGCCCATCTTTGCTGATGACGTGACTATTTCAGTGGATCCAGAGAGGAAAAGAAGGCAAAGTTGTGGCCCTATCTATCTGAAGGGGATCAAAATATCACAGCTGTATGTACACCACAGAACCATTTAAAGAGCAACAATGCCCCCTGCCTGTCTCCATCCCAGACCTCTCCATTCCATTTTCTTGCTGCAAATCAGTAGATCTAGGTCTGTCCCCTCTATCATGCCACAGCCAAGACATGTTTTTCCCCGTTTAGGGGAGACAGATCTTCCAGGACTGGATTCTGTTTTGACATGGTGTAGAGGAAAGGCAGCTTTACCGACGTCTCAGTGGGACAGACAGAGCCAGGCTCTGCTGCAGACAAGCCCTGCAGAGCCCACATTCTTAGCAGCAGCCAGAAAATCAACTCCTTCTGTTTTCAGTGGAATAATCCATACCAGTAACTTCTTGTCTCTGCTTTAACCTCCTTCACCTTTCCAAAGTCCCATAGCGTCAGAGAGAGGATCTTCCCATGAACATGACCTGAGTGCTCAGCATCTTCTGGCTCTCTCAGGCCTGCACCTTGTCCTGACTGCGTGCTTTCTCCAAGAGGAGAGAACAAGAGGAAAGAAAGGCAGGTCACGGTGCTGAAAGCGGCCTGCTGGGTTGGAAAGAGCCAGATATTTGTGGAGATATTGTGCGCTGAGCACAGGCCACAGCCAGCATCTCCAAGGCAGGATGCTCGAGTGCCCTCGGCCATGCCGAGGACCAGGACAGCCTTCCTGGGGGCAGCTGTTTCCCTGCAGAGTGCGGTGCAAGAACTGCCAGAACCGCTCTCTGGAGAGACGAGGGCTGTGTAGGACCGCAGACATCTCTGACACAGTGGAAAGCAGGAACTGGGAAGCTGGAACGAGGGACTGAGAAGCCCAGCAAGGGAAGAGCATGGGGCGATGAGTCACAGCCTGAGCGCAGCACAGGAACAGGCTATCACGCGGTAACTGCGTCAGCGATGCAGTCCATGTGCATTCGCTTAGTCCGTGCAAATAAGGTCACTGCAGCCAGCTTAGTGCGGTTCCATCATGTTGGCTAACTCGAATTGACTTGCATGTGCCATGGATTAAGGGCGTGCACAAAGATGCCCCCCGCTGTCAGCTGATATATGGCAGAGATTCCTCCGCGGTAACTTGTCCAGTCTGTCTGCACCTCCAGCTCCATGACAGGCTTCATCAGTGCAACGGCAAAGCCTGTACAAAAAGCTCCCTGGGCCGTAATCAGGTAGGTATGGAAGCCAGTGGGGTAACGCTCCACCACGACGAGAACCCATCCCATGGCATTCCTGCCTTCCATCTTGGGCGTGCCTCCTCCAGCACCACAGCCTCCCATGTTCCCTTCCTAGGCTGGAGGCTGTTGGGCTTGGAGATGGCTGCTTGACAGAAGTGCCTCGTTAGGAGGTTTCGCAACAAGCTCCCTGTGACTGTGTTAAGCGGCCTGCATCATCTGTTTTGACTTTGCTGGATTTGTCTGTGTTCAATATATTTCTCGCAAGGGTCCCAGTTCAGCCCTCATTGACGTCAATGGGAGTCAGTCCATTCCCTTCAGTGAGAGCAAGAGCTGTCCCTTGGTGCTTGTATCTTGGCTGTTTCATTTCAGTGCCCAGCTCCATACACCCTCCTACACCAAGGGCTACCTTTCCCATCCCTTCAGCACAGCTGGTGGCTCCAGCCTCTTCATCCTGGCTCACAGATCCTGGCCTGACTCACTCCTCGTTCCCTGATGCTGTACCCCTCTCATTCATCCTACGTGTCTTATCTTGATTTTCTGAACACCCCCATCTCCGCTGGACCCTCAACAACATTTCCACTTCTTAAACACTGACAAATAAGTTTTGTTGGTTGGCCTCTCCGCCTAGGTGATTTCATCGTCCTACAGCTCACTCACCCACCTGGACAGTGAGGAAGGTTTTCACTCCAGTTAGTTCCATTTCTGCATCACCTCCTCAATAAGCACTTCCCATCCTAGCTTAGGTCTCTGCATGGGTGACTATCAAAGAGGGAGGCAGGACCATCACCAGGAGTCCAAGCATCCGGTTTCAACACCTCACTCTGTTATGGGTTCCCACTGAGACTTTGGTCAAGCCACTCAAATTCTTTTCTCCTGTGAAACTGGGAATCGTGCTCTCCTCTCTCCAGTGGTTTTTCATGGTGTGATGTCCTCGTGGTACTTCTGAGAGCGCTACTAAGATCGCACGCAGAGAACTACGCATCCCCAAGCCTTCCCAAGCGAGCACCACTACTGCTTCTAAAACACTTCAAAAAATGGGCAAACAAAGACACAAAATATTAGCTGATCATCCACTAGATAAACCTTTCATCACATCTGGGGACTGCCAGGAAAGAGCAGGAGAAAGCACGCCATGCATGCATTGTTTCGAGCCTTTTCCTAGAGCACTCACTCCAGCAATGCTGGGGACAGGATCCTGCACAGGCAGCCCCGTGCTGTGACTCAGTGTAGCCTTGCTTACATTCCCTGGAGCCAAACTGTCTGATTGATGTTATCCTAAGGAAGATCTAGAGTTAACGGCAGTAAAGTTCTTCAGAGAAGACATAGCTCGTGGAAGGGGGAAAAAGACAAGGAAAGAAGGAAAAACAGGAACTCTTCTCTGTCCCCATGGCAGCTTGGCTGGGGCTGGCTCCAGCTGCAGTGGTGGAACAGACACTGCGTGTGCTTCTGAGGCTGCCACAAAGCATCCCAGTGCCAAAGATGCACCCCAAGGCAGAGCGGGAAGCAGGAGGGCTGGGCCCCACCTCCTGGTGTGGCTTCGAGGACAGGAGATGGGTTTTATCCATAACAGAGGTGCTGCTAGAAGAGGGCCGGCTGCCTGTGGGCTTCTGCAGTGAGAAGAGAGTATGGCAAAGCATCCACATGGCACTCAGACACAGTGCCAGGGGAACGGCTGCAGGATGTGTCTCTGTCCCACCGTTAGGCCACCCCTGAGCATTCAGCCCCAGGAACGATGCCATATCCCATTGTGTTTAGAGACAAGAAGAAGAGCCAGTGTTTCAGAGCTGATGGTGCCCAGGTATGCCCAGGTCATCTCCCTTTGGAGCTGCAGAGGTCTGCAGGGACGGCTGGGACATCGTGGGACCCTGAAGCACTCACACAGCCCCAGACTGAGGGTAAAGCACAAGGAATGGCTGTCAGGGCCAGGGACAGTGAGCAGCGCCCTTCCTCTGCAGCCAACTCAGCAGGGACGAGCAGGGGACAAAGACGTGCTGCACCACCGCTGTCAGCTGCGCAGGAGACGGGGACGTGAGGCAGAGAGAGCAGGAGGGATGGAAAAGGTGAACGGTGGCTGCCAGAGCCTGGCTCAGGTGGAGCAGGGCAGAAATGGCAGCGAATCCACTATTTACGAGGAGCAAAGTGTTACAGAGCACAGCTGGGCCTGGACTGCCTTCCCCAACACCGCGGCCTGCCAAGCTCCTAATAAAACCCAACACAGGTTGACCGGGGTTCTCCTGTTGCTCCCCCCTCCCAGCTGGGCCCCACACCCCCAGCACCTCGCGGGGCTCCCACCTCCCCGCAGCCCAGGGCAGCCGTGCCCACGCTCCGCCTGCCCTCTGCGCCCCAGCTCACCGCACGCGCCCGGCCGGAGCACGCCCACAGCCTGTTGTTGTTGGTTTTGGCTCGGCGGTAGCAGGCTGCTTCCAGCGAGAGTGGTATGAATAATTGCCCAATTAACTGCAGGAACTTCCAGATGTGTGTTTGCTTTCATACCCGTCCAGCCCCCCTCGATCCCACGTGCCTAATGCCGCAGAGAGAGGTGGGAGTGGGAGAGCCAAGGCTGAGCAGGCAGGTCGAGCCGCTGCCTGGCTCTGCTCTGCTTTCCATCCCCACCTCCCGCTCTTTAAATGGGGAAATGGTCCTTTTTAACGACCCTGGGGAGAAGGAAACTCGCCCTGCCTGCCAGAGCTTGGCTGTGCATGCCAAAAGCCGAGCAAGCAGAGAAGAAAGCTGATCCCATGTTGTGATTTTTATCAGGTGCACATACAGTGAACCCTCTGAAGACAGGTATTTTTGCATCTCCCCACCTCCCTTCCTGCTGAATTCCCTCGCACTCAGCAGAGTTTTGCTGTCAGCCAAGCTGCTTTCACCCAGCAGACACACTTGAGACATTTTGGGATAGCAGCTCTCTGCGCTGCAGGATCCAGCCCGGCACTGCCGCTCACCATCTGAACCAGGGGTCTCCCCCCAGGACCTGGGTGGGGATTTGACCCAGGCACAGGGTATCTGGATCAGAGCGAGCAGAACAAGGCTAAGAGGGAGCTCAGATCCTATCAGCAATGCGAACTCCCCACCATCCCTCGATTGGAGCCCAAGGGGGGCTTTCCCCTTCCTCTAATTTGGCACCTGAACAGCTCTGCTGCTTCAGAAACAGAACCGGCTCCAGCACTCGGGACCAATGAGCCAGTCCAGCTGGGAGGCTGTGGTCTCTCCCTGCTGCATTGCACAGATGGAGCTTAAAGGACAAAATTACACCAGATGGCAAACTTTGAGACAGCTACTGTTCGGGGAAATGAATGCCATCCAAAACATGTCCCTCCCCAACTGCGGCATGAGTGACGCAACTCCAGCTCAAGGCAGTCTCCCAGACCAAAACCTCAGCCCCGATACCCTTGAGACAGGATGGCCAGAAACCACAGCAAGAGGGTGACATGTATTTGAAAGTAGTGTTAGCTTGGCACTGTGGGCATTGTGCAGACTCAAACTCCCAAAGCTCAATCTTTCAAAGCTTCCAGCAAGCAGAGAGCACCCAAAACTTGCATAGCCCCACAGCCCCAGCCAGAACACCCCGTTTAAGACCAGCACACAGATGCACATAGTGCACAGTTGAACCTGAAGGTTCATCAAAGCTGTTCTTCCCCAGCAGACAGAGACTGAAGAAAAATGACAAACTTCCATGGTCCTTCTGCACAGTGTGCAGGTAGCCCAGCTCACTGCAGGCCAATGCCAATCTCTCCCCAGTGACTCAGGATCAGTAGAAGCACGCTCACGAAGCCAGCAAAATGATTTGGACAATGTTCTGACTTCCCATCCTTTGTATCAGAACAGCAGGACTAGGCAGACAAACTCCAAACTCCTTTAAATGATGAATGATGACGTTTTCTTGAGAGAAATTCAACAAACATGAACATTTGGGTCATCAGCAAATCACCTGGTGTTAAAAACACTTTTTCCATGCTGAACTTCTGTAGGACCAGTTTCTGTTTCTGACAAGTCACTGCCACTGGGAATGGCTTTCCCCTTGACCCAAGGTTGGTCTTCCTACCCAGCCTACCTACAGCAGTGATGATTCACTTGCCCTCTTCTCTCACACACAGAATCACACAAAATAGGCTGAGCTGGAAGGGACCTCAAGGATCATGAAGCTCCAACACCCCTGCCACAGGCAGGACCACCAACCTCCACATTAAATACCAGACCAGGCTGCCCAGGGCCCCTTCCAACCTGGCCTTGAGCACCTCCAGGAATGGGGTGCATGCAGTCAAATCCAGCAGTGGTGACCTAAATGTTGGGGATGCTTGCTTCAGAGCACAGACCTGTTGGCTGGAGAGCAGCTGAGCTGTTGTCACACTTTCCTCCAGGAGTCATCCAGGGCTCCTGTGTCAGATCTGCTGTGTGCAGGCTGTCCACAAGAGCCCAGAGCACCAGAGCCTGGGGTAGGGGAAGGTGGGACAGATATGAGATCTGAGGGATGAGACAGGACCAGAGATACAAAGTTGGAGAACCAGATAAGTGCCCAGATGCAGACCAAAGTGTTTATCCTGAGAACAGTAGGGTCTTACACCTGTACCCACGGCTGCTGTCTCCCCACTGCATTGCTGAGCCCGCAGCCCGCTGTGCTGCCCTCGGAAGGCAGGGGAAACTCTCGGGCTGCACGCTGTGCTGTAAGGGTGGAACAACTGGCTTCCCCTCCGCAGCCATCTCCCATCCGCTGCCCCTCAGGGCTCTAAGTGGGCTGTAAATGCTTTCAGCATGGCACTTTACCAAGCACAGGCCGTAAATTACAGTCCCGTGCCGATAATAAGTCAGGTAATAGCAACACTTTTTTGTCCTGCCAACCGCACAAAAGGTTGGCAGAGGGGAGGAGGAAGGCGGGGGAGACGCCTATTAGCACCAGGCTGGGTTTTACACGCGATGGAAAGTGTTTGTTCAGCTGGAAGCAAGAACGGCCCTTAACCCAAGAGCGCACGCTAATGAAAACAGCGCACGGAGGGGGAGAGGGGCAGCGGCACAGAGCAGCGATTCACCACCAGCACAGGTGTGAGGGCTGCACGGAGCAGACCCAGGTCACAGCACCCACCCAGCCTGCCTGCACTCTGGCTCCATTTCACACCTTTTGGAAGCACTAATGGTGGGATCTGCTCTGCTCTGTGGGGGAAAAGAGACAGGTCTGAGAGCACGCAGTGCCATGGGTTTGGGTGTGAAGCTGCCTGCCCTGGGAAACCCTGAGAAAACAAACAGGCCTACCCTGAGACCCCACAGGCCAGCAGGCAGCAGCTGCTTGGACAGCAGCAAATAGCCTTGTGCAAGGTCTCTGTGCAATGAGCTTTCCTTCTCCAGATGCTGCAGAGGCCATCAGGAGTACCCCAAATGTGCAGCCAAAGTTATCTGCATGGATCTGACACTGCGCAGTATCCAATGCAACAGCAACACCTGCAGCCAGAGCCAAATGTTTAAGGAGCAATCATCCTGCATTTTGTAATCTTTGACACAATACGCTGAGAGCCTACCATACTTGTCACCCACAGCTACATCCTGCTCCTCTCGTGGAGGGGAATTATAGGCGTCCAGAAGGGAGGCCCTGAGTCCCTCCTGACGAGCCCCTGTGTGAGGCAAGAGAATCATTCAGTCCCACCAGCATCTGAAGTGTGACAGGAGGACCACCTGCCCCACAGGGAGGAGCCGGCAGAGGGGGAAGGGACGAAGACACAGAACGAGAGGGCTGCGACCTGCCCTGCTAAAGGGAAGCGCAGTGCTCAGGGATCTCTTCCTGGAGCCACAGGAGCGGGTGCTGCCCACACAAGCAGTGCTCCTGGCTCTGTGCTGGCACGGCCACCCGCACACTCCCAGTTGGGCAGGTTTGAATCCATGCTGGAATATTGACAGCACACCCACGGGAGGGCTGCAGGTCCGGCTGCTGCAGGTGGACAAGAGGGTGATCTACACCACTGGGCAAGCATCCCGTTAAGATGCCAGCATGTGATAGGAAAAGGATTTGCTTAGTTATCCCACGGTAATTCCCAGTTTTACCCACAGGAGGTCACACTTTGCCGGGCTTATCAGCTTTCAGGGCGATCAGCCCCGTGCAAAACGCGCCGCTGGGGACCAACACGGCCGCCGTGTCACCAGCCCAGGTCAGAGCTTGGCTGCTGCCCCTCCTGCACACCCTTTCCTGCTGATGTCCCCACTCGAAGGGTGCCAGCCCCTCTCCCAAGCTGGCAGACACCCAAGGGACGGCTTTCCTGCACTGTGACCCAAATAAATGGCTCAGCAGGAGCTCATCTGCCATCGGTCTTTAGAAATACGGACAGAAACCACCCTCAAGACACAAACCCTGAGGAAACCAGGCTTTACTGAACACTGCGTTTGTGAAACTAGCTATTTCATGCCATGTGAAAGTTCTCCAAAGCTCAGGGAAGTTGTTGATTGGCAGCCCTACAAAGTAATACCCTTTATTAATCCCTACAAAGCCTTTGCAGGCTCAGTGCCCCCAGTGCTCAGACAGTCACTCTGTCTTGCTCTTTATTTCAGTTGCTGCAGTTCTCAGAACATTCCTTGGCTTCTGTAAAAAGCTGCCAGCAAGGAGCACCTTTCTGCAAGAACAAAAGTAGATGCACTCCAACAAGTTTCCCATCAGCAAGCAGGCAGTCAGCCAAGTGTGAGTATTGCCCTCTCCTCACAGTCACAGATGGCACGACAGCCTGAGTGCAGCGAAAGGAAGGGCATCCATGCAGCCATGCAGTCTGCACGTGTTAAGTCAGCACATAGCATGCACACTGCCCACACCATGGCATGCACACTGCCCACACCATCTGCCACGTCCCCAACAGCCAGCAGCCTGCAGGCTGGGGTTACCAGGGCAGTGTCACACTGTCAGGCAGCACAGAGGCTCTGGTGACCAAAGTTACACCCCTCCCTGCTCTCTCAGTAAAGAACCACGGAGCATCAGCACAGAAATCTGATGGCAGTCTTCAATTACTTCTTTGCACGGAACACTGAGAACGTTTGTCTGAAGGGTACGCTCAGTTCAAATCACAGTTCACACTTTAGCTGGCACATTCCTGCAGCCCGGTGTGTTTCTGTGTGCTTTGACTTGCATCCTCACAGCCCATCTGTGCACACACCACATCAACACCTTCTCCCTGCCTCAGTTTCCCTTGAGAATCTCAGGAACTCCTGCCTCAGGGCTGCCACCTGCCCACACACACACACTACTCGGGGCATGCATAGACAGGGAGAAGAAGCGATAAATACTGAGGACAGACGGAAGGTTCTCATCCTCCTACAGAACCTTATCTAGCAGTGCCCACACCTCTCTCTGTTCCTGCAGCTCTCTATCTACTCTCATCCTTTTCTAACCCCACTTCCCTTACTAGCTCAACTTAATTTGGCACAGGAACATAATCCTTCCCATGTGTGTAAATGCCCCTAGGACACTTGTGACATTTGGAAAAACAAGCTACCTCCCAGCACAGCTTCTGGAAGTGGTTCTGCTGTGGG